CACATATGATACGACACGACTTCTTCATGAGATTGCAGTACTCGAGGATATACTGCGGTATTTGCGTAGTCTTTCCACAGCCGGTGCCACCGCTCACCACAACGATCCGATTGGAGGCGATGGCTTCCATCACATCAGTCCTCTTGAGCCACACCGGGAGTGACTTCCGGAAGGCTATCGTCTGATCCATTCTTCCGGAAGCAAATGGAGGCGGGATTGGGATCTGAGGGATAATGTTAGACAAGCGGCCAGTCGTGCAGTTTAGTTCCCGTTGCGACTCAAACTGCTGGTGAGCGCCGGTGTTGCCCACCAGTCGGTGCTCAGCGTGCGAGAAATGGCAGGAAAGGGATGAAAGGGAGGTCTCCTTCTCCTTATCGGACGCCGGGAAGCGCTGTAACAGAGTTTTGATGATATTCTGCGTGAAGTCCGACAAACCGTACGACGAGTCCATTGCGATGATAGTCGACGACGGCTTGTATGCCGTCACCCATCGATTCGCGCCATTACTGTCCGATGTATGGGATATGGGATCAGTTAGCGGTGATTATCGTTGAGTGACACAAGTGGTGGCCATACATACCGTCGCCTCTTAGTCTTGAGCCCGAATTGGGTGCAGAAGTGGTCCACATATCGTCGCTCAGCGGATGTGAAACTCGTGGGAAACTCGTACTCTTGTAGCGGAGGAATGGTATGCGAGATATCAATTGGTTTGATGGCAACGGATGGCAACGATAGGCAAAGACATGATATGATACTCGACTTACCATTGATTGACTCACTCTTCACAAGTTTGTTGACAATAATGTCTTCAGCAGGTCTTCAACACTGGGTTCACGTCCAGCTGATCACATCGGGTGGTGGCTGTGAAGCAGTCCATGACTTGGGATGAGATGTGGTGATGATATGTGTGTGGAGTGAGTGGTGGTGTGAATGCTGTGAATGAATGGTATGAATGGTGTGAATGGTCTGAATGTCTGAATGTCTGTGCATTTCGTGCGAAACGACTCTTTGTTTGTGAATAATTGCGCCCAAAATGAGCCAAAGTTTTGAATACAGTTTTGAATACAGTTTTGAATACAGTTTTGAATACAGTTTTGAATACAGTTTTGAATACAGTTTTGAATACAGTTTTGAATACAG